TAATTAAGTATCATTGTTTTCCAGGGACCCTTGTTTTCCTTCTTTGGGTTTCCCAAGGAGGAAAGACCTGAATATCAGGCAAAAGCCAGTTTGTCCCAGGACTGTTCTTCTGTTATCATCTGAGCAGTGGTGTTCTAGAGCGGTGGTTCTTAACCTTTTTGAAAGAATCGCCCCCTTGAGCCATTGAGGAAGTTATCATCGCCCTCCTCCCCCAACATAACCTCTCAATCACAACACAGGGAAATAATACTTCAATTTATGCAAACACGTTTTTTGTTTTCTTTAAAATTGTCATCAGGACATATCGATGCAAATAATTTATTTCTAGTCTTTTTCCCATATCTCAACTGTGTGAAAAATTCTGATGCCACTTTACTCCCAAACTTCATGATACAAGTATTTCATTATTACCTTATTTATTCAAGACACTTAAATGCAATGACCACTGAAAACAAAATTCAATTGCAAGAAAATGAAATGCCCGAAAAAACCCAGTAACATTTAATGATTTAATTACAAGTGAATTTTAAGACACAAAAAGAAATATAAAAAGGGCATAAGAACAAACCGCAATGCAGGAACTAAGAATTTCAAGACGAAAACTCTGAAACTAAATTAAGATTCGAGGAAAATATATATTCATGCACACTGTAAAAAGGGTTAAAAAGACACAAAGAAAATTTTTAGAGAAGGAAAGCAACAAAAATCAGAGCAACAAATTTAATGGGTAGAGTGATAGAGGCTGCTGCGCAATGTGCATGAAGATGAGCGATGCGTATTTTCATATGTACGGTGTTCTGTACTGAAGCTAGCTGGAGGAACATTTTAAAACACAGTTCAATCCACTAATAGCGAGCGATCTGATGTTTTTGTATGACAGATATACAGCGGTTCACTGTATGAAAAAAGTCTCAAAAGTGCCCTCAAAACTTCTCGCTCCATTGCTCCCATATCACCCCCCTTCCGTTCCTTCGCCCCCACGTCGCCCCTTTTCGTTCCATCACCCCCCCTGAAAAATGAAATTGCCCCCTGGGGGGTGATATCGCCCAGGTTACGAACCACTGTTCTAGAGTGATCTCTCAGATCCTAATGGCTGATGTTGAGGCCAAATAAAGGAAGGGATGCTTTGCTTGAATGAAAGTAGCACAGAAGCAGTATCATCTGCGGAGGAGGTGGGAGGTTCATGTGTATCAAAAAAAAGGCAAGATGGCACCTATTTGTACGTGTCAGCAAAAGGAAAGGAGGCAGTGGTGGGGTACCGGTTCTGTGGGCGTGGCTTGGTGGGCGTTGCAGGGGAAGGATACTGTAAAATCTCCATTCCCTCCCCACTCCTGGGGTAAGGTTACTCCAAAATCCCATTCCCTCCCCACCCCATTAACCTGCTTTCCAGCTCCACTTCCCTGTGCAGGGCAACAAAAAAAAAGACCCAGCTGATCAGCTGGGACTCGGGAGGCAGAGAATAGATGGGGGTGGGGCCAGTTAGAGGTGATATTTTCCAGTTCTCTGAACTACTCAAATGTTCTGCTACCGGTTCTCCAGAACTGGTCAGAACCTGCTGAATACCACCTCTGGAAGGAGGTTACATTGTGTTCCTACTTGCCCCATTTTGTGTTTTTGATCCCTCCAGCCAATGCCGTTTCACAGGGTGTTTTTTTATTTTTTTAGGAATGATGTGGCAGCAGGTCAGCCCGGCCTCTTAAAACATCAAATCTGAGCATTGGAGCACTCCTATTAAACAGACAGCTTGTACCGGAAACGAGGCTAAGCAGCAGGAAAGAGCCCTTGACATCTCAATCTGCCTCCTCTTGAATCAGGAATTGCATTCTTGTCCATATAGGCCTCCTTTTCAAACTTTCCCATTTTCTTTCTTTACTGTCCACATGCCAGAATGGGAAATTAATTATAAATTATCCCCTACACACTGGATACTGATAGTTTTGGTGCTTGTCCTTTTCTTTACCCCAAAATTGCCAAACTTACTTCCTTTGAAAGTTAGCCTTTGCTTTTTAATAGGTAATTCTAAAAATTCAGGTACTTTTAATTAGTTTTTGTTTTTCTTCCTAAAGTCTAGCTCCTTTAGTACTAGATTTCAAGATTTCCCCTTCCCTTAGATATTCCCAAATACAAGAATTTCTTTCATTCCAGAAAATTTTGCTGGAAACTTTCCTTATTTTTTGGTAGTAGAAAATGCAATAGTGATGAATCCAATAATTATTTGCTGCCTTTTTATTCATCCAAACCAGCTTTGTCTACTAAAGTGACTGATAACATTGAGAGAAGCCTATGAATTGATGTCTTTTCTTCATTCTGATTCACACTGTACCATAAACGATAATGTGGCTTGATTAGCATTGGTTCAGTGTGTGGTGTGAATCCAGTCATCATGGCTTATTCTATAAAACTATAGTCTATGACTTAGTGCAATGTGCAACTAAGTACAATTAACAGGCAAGTAAAATCACAGGTAGAAATTGGTAGACGAAAGGTTCTATTTTGAAAGCGCTTCTTTAAAAATGTCTGAGCCAAAATAAACAACATGTAGGGGGCGTGCATAAGCGCACCAACGTGCCTACCGTCCCTGTCCTATTGTTTCTCTTATTCTTTTATTTTTCTTATATGTACCCATTTCATGTATTCACAACTATGTATACATTTATACTTATTATCTTGTAAACAATTGGCAAATCAAATAAATAAATAAAATAATAAATAAAAAACATAGCCAGCACTTTTAAGCAAAGGAAAGGCAGCCATTTGAAAACGAATGATGTAAGATGATGCGGTGGAAGGGACCAAGAATATTAAATGTAATCCTGTGGGATGTTTTATTGCAAGGGTCATTGCACTGATTTGCCTGGAAAGTACACATAGCACAGTTCCCCCCCCTCCCCAGTTCTTCCTTTCGTTTTTTGGCTCTTGTGGAAGATCAGTTGACTATCCTACTAAGAGGGAATATTTTTTGTGTGTGCTAATTAATCTGTCAACATAAAGTTGGAGTTGCAGGAAATCAACTTTGCCCTTGTCATCTGCAATAAATACAGAGCCCCCCAAAATCCAACCACCATTCCTATTCAACTGAAAGGACGAAGACTTAAAATATCCTGAGAAAAATATGTTTTAAAGAGCTGTCTTTTTCACAGAAATTCTCTCCCAGTGGAAATGTTACATGACATCCCTTCTTGCTAAGATTCTGCCAATACTTCCCATTTCTAAACTCAGATGAAATTTGAGTAAGAGATGGAGGTTGCCTTTAAGTCTTGTTGCCTGTAGTTTTAAACCAGCTTGGCCCTAAATTATCAGTTTCAATAACTCAGCTTCAAAGCTACTGACTAAATCAGATTATTCATGCAAATTTTTTTTTTCAAGCAATGATCCTTTTACACTTTCAGAGAAGACTGTAAGAACCTGGTAGTGCTGCCAAGGCAATTAAGTATAATCAAGAGAGGAAATGCTTGAATAAATATCTTTAAGAGCTTTATTATTCAACAATGGTTTTCATGGCCAGGGTCTTCCCCTAATGTTTATTCATAAGAAGGTTTTGTTAACAGAAGATTTCTAACACAGGGGTCTGCAGTTCCAGCTTATTTCTTCAAAACTATCTGACTGTCCCTTTTGGATGGGTGTGCTCCGTCACAAGGGACAGCTCTTGTGCCATGATGGGACAACGTTGCTTTCATCACATGGATTAATTTAAGCCTGCAAGTGCTGCTGGTGTTTGTGACTATTCATTGAAAGCTTCCTTTTGGAAGTTCATCTACTGCTTTCCAAGGAGCAGCTTCATGGTTGACAATTGAGTGGTAATGAAGTAACATGATTTACAACAAATATGCTAATAAGGTGCACTTCGGTTCAGGTTACCAGCAGGGTAGCAGCAATTCGTTCCGAACCATTCCATTCTGTTTTGACAATCCTGTCCCACCAAGACCCTATTCAATTACTGCAAAATGTGATTATCAATTTTTTTTGGTATCAACTTGGACCGGAAATCGTTAATCTCAAAATCAGCTCTCTAAGAGTTCTGATTAGTAAGAACACCGATGAGCAGTTTACTGATTCAATGCTTAAAAGTGAATTCAGTATTACAATATGGGATAGCCCAGATGAGTAAGAACTGCAAAGAGAAGGGAGGGAGGGAGGTTGTTTCCAGTATTTCAAAACAGTCGTCACCTTGAGCTATATAATGCTGCTGTGGTTATGGCTATCAAAGTTATTCTAGGAAGTCCTGCAGGGAATTCTCCTGAAGCAGTCAAAACACAGGAGGAGACCATCTTCAGGTTGGGCTGGGAGTGATGAGGGGATGATATTGTGGATATAGCTATCTCACCATCTGTAATGGATACAGGTTGGGTGCTGGCCTAGAAACCAGGAGACCGTGAGTTCCAGCCCCACTTTGGACATGAAAGCCAGATGTGTGGCTTCAGGCCACTTACTCACTCTCAGCCCAACCCATCTCACAGGTTGTTGTTGTGGGGAAAATAGGAAGGAGGAGCAGCGGGTATGATCATGCAATGAACCATGACAACAATAACAGCAAGCCAGCACCCAACCTGTATCCATTACAGATGGTGATAATCACATCTGACTGACTATGCAACCGTAATATAATTTAACAATAAAAAAGCTATTAAAAGCATAGAGAAGGCATAGTACAACCCTAAAAAGGAAGACTGTGTTGTCCAGAAATACAGGCAAAAGCTCTATTTAGGGTAGCATGGGGGATGATCCCTTGATTAAGCCATGCAAAGTAATTTTCAATCATATGTCTTTAAAAAGTATGAAACAATACTAAGAGAATGTCAATGGTTTATTGAAAGTAAATGTATGACAATTACTATATCCTGAAATAGTTCAATGTAAGAAGGTATACAGGTATGCTTTAGACTGGTACTGACTGATAAATTTGGGCAACTTGATTTCTGCAAACTTGTGCTAATAAAAGCATCATTTTCTTATTTTTATTTTTACAGGATGAAAGCAAGACACTTCATACAAATATGTATAATATATTCAGATAACCATTTCTTCTGGAAATGAAACTAGGTAATGCAAAAAGGGTGCACATGTGTGTGATTGTGCACACAATTATGCTCCATTATTTTTTTCGCTGCCATTCCTCCTTCCCACTAATTTCTTCAAGCTGACTTTCTTTCTGCATACTTGGCCTTTAGGGGGTATTTTATGGGAAAATGATCAACTATATGCTGTAGTCTATAATGAATCCAGTATAACTTGCTCTCTGACAATCTGTTTAAAATTATATTTTGCCTTATATGCTTTGTGGGACCAAGGATAATAAGGATATTTCATATATTCATAAGCTATGCATTTTTTACCTATGCTTTATGAATAATAATAAGAGCATACATCCGGTTTTCCAGGTTTAGTATAGTGAAGTATAACCCTGACTTGATCTGAGTTTTGGGACGACAATCCCTTTTTCTAGTGTGGCAAGGGAAGATCTAGTCACATACTATAGGTTTGTCTTTGTGTCTTTAAGGATTCAGAGAAAGCTCACCCTACAGAATTTTGTTTTAATGGTTAATTGTGAAGCTTCATGGATGGTAGACATCAACATTTTAAACAAATTTCTAAATCAAAAAATTACAGTGCACATAACAGAACTGAAAAGTCAATGTATGCGGCTTATTTCATTAGAGGTGACTGTGAATTTTTAGCCATAAAGAAGCTGAACTGGTGGCAGGATTCCATTGAAAAACTTCTTCAGAAATCATGTGAAAATTAAGGCTTGGTCCAAGGGCCATTTCATTCAAGCAGCTCTTGGAAAGACCTGACCTTTCAATACTAGCCATCCACCCCATTGTGAAGGACCCAAGATTTGGGTCTTCAATGGAATGGGTCCTAATTTTTCCTCAGCCAGCTTGCCTACCTTCCCTGAGTTAAATTATATTAAGTCAACAATAGTAAATCTCTGAATTCTCGCAGCCTCCCAATAGTCTAATAGTCAGTGATAATAGGAGCTGTAATCTGCACCTGGAGAGCTACAGGTTTCCTACCTCTGGACAAGATGATCTCCAACATAAAGTTCTTGTACATTTCTATAAATAAACAAGGACTCCAAACAGCTGAATCAACTGAATTATTTGTTTAGAAATATTCAGTTACATATTTTTCCTAATAATTTTCGGATCAGCAGGCAATGCCAAAGGGCTGCAATCTTTTGAAAGAAAGGAGAACAGCTTGTCTTTGAAGATATATGCCAAAGAACCAGGGATTAGAAGGAATTCCTTCTCATCAGGAGAGCAGTCATAATAAAGCCAGGGTTCCTTATTGCTCTGTATATGACTATAAAGTCGACCTCTGACTTATTGTGACCATGAGGTCAAAGGCTGGCAAATCCAGTGCTTTACATTAGGATTGCTGCAGGATCAGATAATGGCATCTTCCCATCTTTTTCAATGTGAATGGACTACTTGTTTTCTTGGAAGTTGGCCAAATTTCTTCTTGCCACATCAGTAACAAGGAAAACACAAGACAAAAAAAAATCCTAATAAGAAAAATACAGATGCAGTTCCTCTTAAAGTACTGCCTTTCAAGTGCATTCTTTCTGCATTATGAATTCCAAATGAGGTAGAGTTACAAGGGGACCACAATCACTTCATTGTTACAATAAAATAATTGGTCTTAGTCCTACATGATTTAAGCATCACGGGTCAGTTTTTAACTTTGAGATACAGTGCAATGCACAATATCCCTCCCTTTCTGAATATGAAGAACAGGATGAAAAAGATGCATACATTGAAATTTTGATTACTTTAAGTCATTTTAGCCACCCTTAATATTCCACACAGCTGGAAAACTATACAACTGGCTATCACTAGGAGTAGGGACTTTTGATATTGAATCTAAGCTGTGAAATGCTTACCTATAAGATTGGCTGAGAATTTCTGGGAGCTGAAGTCCACATATCTTAAAGGTATCCAAGATTGAGAAACCTATGCTGTAATATTAAGGTGCACACCTTCTTGAGTTAACTATTTCACTGATTAAATCTGCTTTCTATATCTTTTGCATGGAAAGGATATTACTGTCATTTAACACAATCTATGCTCCTGTGATCAAAGTCTATATGTTCTACTCAGATGTAAAACTTCAGTTTATAGATATTTGAATTCCTCTCCAGGTTCTCTTTTCTAGTTGATAGCCTTCCTGTTTCTAGATCATTTCTTGCACAATCACTGAAATCCTGTATTCCTATGAAGCAGGAGAAATATTACTTTTTTAAAAAAATATAAAGAACTCAAAACAAAATGAGAATTTGTACAATTTGTACAAGGCTTGTTCTTTTTAATGAACTAGATTTATTTATGAATGAAAAAAAAATCCCAGTCTTCGGAACATCACAGTTAGAGTTCTCACATAACAAATTAAAGAAAAGCATAATCTGATGCTAGCATTATACATTCTTAGACAATATACATTATATTCTGTTAGACTCAAGAATTGTGTAGGATTGTAAGATATTTTTAAAATTAGATTGATTACCTGATGTAAACATGAATGATTGTACATAGTCTTTTCAAACAGGAGGAGGGTTGTCTAGTACCAACCGTTTTAAAAATTGGTTTTCTTAGCAATACTGTACATAAATTGCTGTCAGTTTCTCAGGGCAACTGAATATTCAGCCCGTACAGAACATTATGATTGAAATGATCAGTAAAAATAATAAACGAGTTTGTTGCAATCGAAGGTATGAAACCCTGTCTTTGTTGAGCCATTATGAGGTAAGCCAATTATTGCATGTGTATATTTGCAAGTGTGAATGCCAATCTGGTCTGCTTCCTGTGCTCTTCCAGCCAATGATTGTGTCAGTGTTTTAATTAAGCTTTCCTGATTTGCTTCTTTATCTAGGCTCTCTTCCATCTGGCTTTCAGTTGCTGGCTTCCTATTTCTTGTTCAGGAAAAGCTGTGGTTTTAAGACGGGTAGGTTAAACGTCTCACTAAAAGTTCAAAAAAAGAATTATCCTGTCTTATGGGAGGACTGGCTTTGAGTTAATGTCACTTCTAATCCCATCATCTCCCAACGTGTCCATGTCCACCATGGTTCACAGATGTTTGCTTTCCTCTCATGATCTTGTACTGCCAATTTACTTCCGACTGTTTGAAATGTCATGTATATACTTCTGCTTTTTCTTATGACATTCCTTAGGGACACTCCTGAAAACCTACTTCATGAAGTTTCTTTGGCCTGTTTGACCCTAAGATGAATGGAAAATACAATGTTTGTAAAACAGGGCTTGATCTGTTCCTCATGTTCCACCATCATCTGGTTGTAGCTGAAATTCAAACGTTATATCAGTTGAATAGTTCCCACTTAACTGGTAGAACATCTGATTTGGACCAAAAATATCCTTAATCCATATCATCTCCAGGTAGAGCTGCAAAAACTCCTATCTCAAATCTTGAGAAGTAGAATGAGCAAAGGTTTAATTTTGCGACTAGGTTCACACACAACATACAAAGCCACTGTTTTGACTTAATATGGCTGTGAACCATGGTTTATGACTTACCATCAACATGCTAACTGTGATGTATGCTAAATGTGATGGTTAAGCAAACCATGTCATAGCATAACGTCCGAACCAGCAAGTAGAAAACAACTTCCCAAGTTCCTCCAGGCAGAGTTTGGCTTGTATACTGTATACATTTCCCTAACTTTATTCATATTCTGTCTTCCACTAATCTTATCTTTGTCTTCACATCTGTCTCTACATTTAACATCTGGTTTCAACAATGGGAATAGAAATTAGAGAAGAATTTTTCAAGACAGGCAAACACAATTATTCGGCAGTGGTGGAATAATGTCCATGTTATGGCCAATTTGGTATGAAGAGTAGAGCAGTTTCAATTCAGCATTATACATTTATGAAAATAATCACTAGTGAAGTCCAAGTGATCTCATTTCTTCCTACATTGCTATACAATTTTATAACATCTGTATGGTTAGTCTCTTATGATTATTACAATTATTTGTAAAGTACTTGGCATCTTGACAAATTTAATATATTAAACAGGAGGCATCGTAGCTCAAGTTTACTAGAAGCCATACTTTCTGAGTAACCAGGATGTTAAACTGAAGGAACTTTAGACTGTGGTTACTTAACAGCCAAGGAGAGTCTGGAAGAAGGAGACTTTTAAAGAAGACATATTTTAAAGAATGGTACATTCTGGTTTTAGCATTTGAAAATCACTGATTCTCTCTTTGCTTTTCTGAACTTTTGGATTAAATATTCTAAGGCCAGGTTCTTTTGGAAAAGGAAATTTATGCATGCTTCCAACAAACTGTGGGTTTCTTTTGCATTTTGAAAGGAAATGGTTGATGTAAAGCAGTGCTGGGATTCAAGAATTTTTACTACTAGTTCTGTGGGCGTGGCTTGCTGGGCATGGTGTGCTTGGTGGGCGTGGCAGGGGAAGGTTACTGCAAAATCCCCATTCCCTCCCCACCCCACTAACCTGCTTTCCAGCTCCATTCTCCTGTGCAGGGCAACAAAAGAGGACCCAGCCGATCAGCTGGGACTCAGGAGGCAGAGAATAGATAGGGCGGGGCCAGTCAGAGGTTGTATTTGCTGGTTCTCCGCACTACTCAAAATTTCTGCTACCAGAACTGCTCTCCAGAACTGGTCAGAACCTGCTGAATGCTACCTCTGGTGTAAAGCTTCATTACCTAATCAAGTTCAGCATACACTTCTGTTCACAAATCTTTAATATCTTGATTTCAAAAGCCTCTGACTGAATAATTTCTCAGGCCAAGCCCCCATTATCTTTGCCTTTGACACTTTCTGAGTGGGTGGTTTCCAAAGAATATGATTTTTGTGTTCCCAATGAAGAGAACATACCTGAGTGAAGCATCTGAATCCATTGAGGAGTCTTGTTCTCCAGGAAAAATGAAGTTCCATTCACAATCAAGCAAACTTTAACCACTTATTCAGTCATCTCATGAATGGTGAAAGTAATTGGAAAGTAGTCTGTATATTATCCTGTTAAGCATGCAAATATGGTCTAGAAGATGGCAATTCCATTCGGACTCCATTGATTAAAGATATCTCGTAACAGATCTCAGCTACAACTTTCCAGAAGATCAGCAGATGGCAGCAAAAGGTTGGAGGTTTCTGTATCTCTTTGCCATATCTAGGGATTTCTGGATTTTTGCAGCCCATATTATGACTTCATTGACTTAAGTAGAATTCAGGACCTATTAACATTTATTGTATTGTTTTCCTGTGTGAATTAGTTTAAGGAAAATATTGGAAACAATGGATGTTTGATCCCGGATGATGTCAGAATGGACAAAGGATTCTATCACACACAGAGAGACGCACACACACACAAACAGAGAGAGAGAGAGAGAGAGAGAGAGAGAGAGAGACAGAAAGAGAGATAATGCTGTGAAACTCCCTTTTTCATTAACAAATGTCTGGAAATGAATGATAATCTTCATTTAGAGGAAGACCTTTGAAATATAATCCTTCTCATTTTTAATTCAAGATTTTAAATAGTTTAATTATTTCCACTGTGTTGGTCTGCTGCTGTTTTGGGTTTGCTGGGTTGTTTTATTTTTATTTTGTTTAAATATTCCTATCAACTGCCTAGAAGGTTATGACAGATAATGCAATGTGAATGTTCCAGATCAACTGATAATATAATTTGGAGTTTCTTTTCATTCATTGTGGCAGACTGAGTGATTTCCCATTCAAATAAGCCTGGCATGAAATCTCTCCTAAACTGCATACTTTGGTATTTAAGTCTGCCCTTGTTTTTATTAATAAGAATGTGATTGCCTGAACAACTCTTATCACTGCTATCCTATAAAAGTTTTTAGCCAGAAATTAGACTTTAAATAAAAAGAAATCACAAGGTGCTTACAACAGAAATCTGGCTAAAGATGAAGGAAGCCCTTCATGTACCCTGAAGTAGAGATGATGTGGGAATGGACAAAGGTAATTTTACTATCCCTGGAGAAACACAAACCTCCACAGCAATGCTGTAAAACCTATCAAAATTTACATAGACAAGACAACCTGGGTGAGGTCATTTGGCTGTAGAAGCTGCAGAGGATTTTACAGATTTCTTACAACTTGGCAGGACTTCAGAATGGGTTAGTTAGAATGCTAATTAGTTCTGGCTTTATTAAAATGATTAGTGGGAAAAAGGTAAGAGCTTGATAAAAAAATAATCACATGAAGTAGAATGAAAAATAATCAAACTAAGAAGAAGCTTAGGGAGCAAAATCTGAAAAAAATGTGATGAAAGGCAAGATTAAATAAATGTATACTTGCCAAGGCACAGGGGACCTCTATGTTTTGAACAGAAATCTAAAAGCACGATTGATAGGATTGTTTTTGATGAAGGATTGAGATATTTCTTGAATGACACAAAAACAATGGATGTTGGAAAAATCATTTTCAGTACTGCTAAAAATCTATCTTGGGTGAAAATGGACAATGGAAGAAAAGAAAATATGAAGGAAATGAGAGTGAAAACAGAATAATTGCAGGAAGTAAAAGTACAAGCCCTGTATAGAAAGGCAGATTGGCCTCCCAACAGAAGGAATAGAATATGGATGTAACAAAATGGGCTGTGGAAACTACTGAGTGAAAACAATTATGCTACAGAGTGTATGGAAGTGTGTGGTGTCATACTAGTGGGAAGTAAAATGATGAAGTGAAAGGAACTGTGAATGGTAAAAGAATGCTGTAAACTAAAAGGATGGGAGAAGGGTACCATACAATAAATATAAGGAGAAAAAAAGATGGTTTCTATGAATACAATAAAAAATAGCAAGAATTGGTTAACATTAAGGGAGGCAGAGAAAATACTAGATAGTTTTGAGGGAAATAAAACATAGTATGAAGCCTTCACTCTTATGAATGGAATTAACCATAAAAACAATGAAATTATTTGGGATGAAAAACTCAAGTGACCACCATTTTGGCTTTGCTGATATCAGCAATACATGGATATCGTATAGAAGTTCTCCTGTTTCATCCAGATAGGAAATGTGACTAGATGAGCTAAATGGGTAACAACATTTTATTGTAAGTCTACATTAACAGAATATTTCAAGTCTGAAGTACAAACTTCCCATCACTTTTATCAGTCTGATCAATTAGAAAGGATTGATTGATCCTTCTCTAGGTAGCATCTCTTTCTCTCATCCCTCAGGATATTGCATTGCAGGATGTGATCAAGCAAGGAAATAAAGATCTGGTGAATGATGTTAGTATAAACTAGAGTCAGCTTTCCCTTCCCTATCTAATCTCATGCAGTTAATTTTTGAGGGAAACTATTTCTTACTCTCTTTCTATGCTTGTATTACATTACTTACCCTGAAAGGAACCAGGAGATATGCAATTTATGAACGAATGCAATTTATGTTATTTTTTTGAACCCTACCAATATTTATTAACAGCGAGCATCTTACAAAAATAGGAGAATGTCGTCAGCTAAGCAGCTGACAGACATTTCACACAGAGACCCAGAGAAATGTGAGTATGCCAACACTCACTTTATCTTTCCACCTTGCATAATACAGTTGAGTAATATTAAACCCTTTCTTCTTTCTAGGCAGGGAGCTTTAGGGTGGATGAGCACAATAAAAATGGAAAGATAGTATAGGCTAGGGAAATGGAAGACGAGGGTGAGTCACTGGGTAGAAAAATGCACAGCACAAGTAGGAATATGATCTTCAAAGGAATGGCCTGTCTAGAGGAACAGCAAATAGCAAAGGAGAAATAAGGAAAGAAATTTCTGTGTATAAAGATAGAAACAGAACTGAAACATGAATTTTTATCTAGGATAGGATATTATAAGCAACCCTTAATCAATTTCATTTGCTGGGATACAGTGGTGCCATATTTCTATAGGTTTTCAAATTTATTTCTCTGTGGCTTGGCTTTGGTGGGAAGGACATTGCTAGAATTTTG